TAGCATAGAAGTATGGACGACGAGATGATTGAAGATGAACACAACGGAGATTTAGTCCTATTGGCAGACATCCATTTAAAATGTAGGCAACGGCATGAAAAAAGTGGTTTCTACTTTTACTTTTATACTTTAAGTAAATTTACAAGCCTGTACTTTGTTACTTTTACTTGAGTAAAGAAGTTTAATCAGTACTTCCACTTTTACCAGAGTATTTTTTAACACAAGTATCTGTACTTTTACTCAAGTACGGAAAGTGAGTACTTTTGCCATCTCTGACCGCCTTATAGGGCGCTCCGCACATTTTGAGGGGGAAAAAAAGACGTTTATATGCGCCTTATAGTCGTGAAAATACGGTAAATAGTTAGACTACACATGTTTAGAAATTCATAAGGTCAAACTACAGAGCTGGAAAAGCTTTGAATTGAAATTGCTCTGATCTAAAAAACAAAAAACCTGTTTGCATGAGGCATAGTTGTTTTATGTATAAAGATAAAACAGCGTATCTTATTTATGAAGAAGAGATTCTTACATGATGAAAGGTAAGTATACATCAGACTGATGTTTAGTTTTGAGAAAATGGAACCTGATTTTGTTTCACCTTTGCTGGAGAGAAGAAAAAGAAAAACAAGAAAAACAAAATCATTGAGTTTGGGATTTTTGCTATAACTGTGACTTACTTTAGAAGTTGAGGACTGACAAATGTCAGAAGGTCCTGGACAAGTTTGTTGACGGCAGATTCAATCAGGATCCATATGTTTTTGAAATGGTGTTAACCTATGGAGGATCAGCTCTACCATATATAAAAAAAAAAAAAAGAAATGCTCAATAAATAAATAAGCGTACAATTAATTGCTCCAAAAATTACAATAAACAAATAAATGTAGGTAAAAATTAAATTATACAGTGAGACATAAATTTATATATCTCTTTTAATTAGCTTCTTTATTTGTAATAATAACCTTATTTATTTATTGTCCGTTATAATCTTCAACTTTATTTATTAATACTTTTTTTTAAGTATTTATTTATGTGCATGTTATATTTGTGTCTATTTTATTCTTCCTTTGTATTTTTTTACCCTATTCATTTCTTCAATGATTTTTATTTCTGCCTGTCGTTATTACTTTCTGTATGCATTTCTGATTCATTATAAAAAATAAGGAAAAAAGTCAGAAGGTCCTGGACAAAATTGTTGAAGGCAGATTCAATCAGAATCCATTTAACTGTTTTTGAAATGGCATTAACCAGCCATGAATTTGGATAATCTGTTTTCTTATTTTTCTCCTTTTTTTCTTTTTCTTTTACTTATTCCTCCTGATGCAAAAGTAAATGTCATGTGTGTGTTGGGGTTTGGTGGAGAGTCATGTGTGTGTGTGTATGTGTTTTAAGGGAAGCAAGGTGGTCTACAAATTTAGCAATAGATTATAATCAGGTAAAATTATTCTGACATATAATAAACAGATAAAAATCAAACTCCAAAGTGATTGATAAAAAAAAAAAAAAAAAAAGAAACTAGTGGTGGTCCGTTATCTGCGTTATCTTGCTGCGTTAATGCCAGACTTTTATCAGGTGATAAAAGTAAAGGACCACCCATTCATTTAAAAACAGTGAAATTAAGGAATCATTTGATTTATTGTATGTTTAATAAACAACAAATTTAAGCTCAGACTAAATCAAATTAATTATGTTGAAAACTTAAAGTTGTGGCGGAAACATAGATTAAATGCAATAAACAGGTTTACTGTGTAACCCACAAGAAGGGTTACTCCAATTACACCTGATAATAGTAGATGGTAAGTATGTTAATCACTTCGATGACTGATACCAACACTACACAAGTATAAAGAAAGTGGGGCCTGATCAGAACATTTTAAATTCATGGGAGCCTAGGTGTAAGCAACAACAGAGGAGAGCGCACAATGTCTATAAGAAAGGGTAGAATTTAATATATTGAACAATTGTGGATCCACATTTACAAATAAACAAAATTGCGTGCTTTAAAAAAAAAAAAAGAAATAACAGAAATATTCCAGTCGTTTCAATGTTTCTGTCAAATGTTCACTCAATGCCTCACAGCTAGCGACCGGTCGGGTCACCATCAATCAGTTCACTCAGTCCTCTGGGCTGGGGCTCGCCATCCAAGTTCTGAAGAGGAGGATCTTGGGGTGTCTGGGCACTACAGAGCAAAAGTGCACCAAAACAGGAGGGGAAAAAAAAAACTTGACCTGGAACAAGGCCAAAGTAAAGCATCTTAAAATATCGGATGCCAATATCAATAAAACTTAAGCTACAATTCAGAGATCTTTCCTCATCTCTCATGTTTTTTTCATATTGTACAACAATATTCATATAGATCTATATTTCAATCTAAAAGTGCCAATGAAGTACATCTATAACACTATGTATAACATTAGAATGTGGATTAGAAACTCACATTTGCTCTGACTATGGGAGAATTATCCTGCCATAGAAATCCCCAATCTCAACATTTATCCAGAAGCACCAGATTTGTGGAGGGCAGACCTTATATTTACCCTGTAAACAGGTATTTTCCAACTGTTGGTATTTGCACCTCTTGCAGGTTTACTGGACACTGTGGCTGTTTTTCTTAGGAATCATGTTCTTGACTAGTCAGTGTAAGACCATTAGGTTTTTACAGGTATTTTATCTGATTGAAAATAAATAACACACACAGCTTTGTTTTCATTTCATATGGGGACATTTCATTGACCTCAATTAATTTTATATGGCCTTGCCTAGACTCTTACCATAAGGCTAACTATTACCATTATATACCTAACAAATGTCCTATATGTGGCTGTACGTTCCTGCATGTAGGATATTTTACAAAATACTTCCCCCACATTATAGGCAAAACAAGACACGTGTGAGTGTGTTTGGGAGGAGTGTGTGTGTTTTAATGCATGATTATGTTTTTCCATTAAATTAGATTAAATTAAAGGATTGCTTAAAACTTAGAATGTTGTTTTAAATAAAAAATAAATAATGCACAGTTTTATCATTTATCTTTCTGTTATGCATCTCAGAATCAGAACCAAGTAGGGTTGCACATACAAGGAATTTGATTAGGTATTGATGGTGCAGACAAAATAGCTATATATACAGAATACAGAATCGATTGCTTTAAACAATATAAAACATACCGTACGCATTTAGTATTACTATGGCTTATTCACTAATGTTAAAAAAAACAAGCAACTTAGAAACTTCAGAGCAAATGGATTTAAGGCGGAAGTTCAACTGAAGAAACTCATTGCTCTCCTATATCCACCTGCGACAGCCAATCAGCTTTGAACCACACCTCCACGAAAGCCAATCGGCATCAGGTTCATCTTAAAAGGCCTCCAATCCGCTCTTGTCTGCTCCTGTGGGCAGGCGGCGATGCCTTCATTCAGATGACACAGTTTTAACAAGAGGTGGGCGATACCGGGATTTTTTAATCGATCCGATACCAAGTAAATACTGGGTCAGTATCGCCGATATCGATACCGATACTTTTTACATTTAAGCTGCACTTGCCTGTTGCTTTTTTTCTATAAAGTTCTCAATCGTGGAATAAATAAGAGATTATCTAATGTTAGCTTATTTTAGCTAACAATTTTTAATGGGATAAATGTACTGGGTTTTTTCAAGGTCTTAACTACACTTTCTGAGTAATATATGATGTATAATGAAGTGCTGCAGACGATGACCACTGTTATCTACCTGGATATTCTCTGGAGGACTGAAACGCTTGGGTCAAAGATGTCTGTCTGAGGCTGGAGGCGGGTCTTTGGTCTCTCTCTCCATCCAAGTCTGAGTGAGCACTCACCCAGCAACCGGCAGCGCGGTTGTCTGTGTGACGTAGTGCTGAGTGGGCAGGCCAAGCTAAGCCTGCGCGCTGATTGGCTGGCGCCGCTGAGCCATGTGACTGTAGGAGAGGGGAGGGGGAGCAAAGTGCTGTTACACATATGGGGAAACTGGTGACTCCGCAGCAGTCAGCGCGCGCGAGAGAGGATAAAAAGTATCGATCTTGTTAAACGAATATTGTTCAATATAAATACCAGCGTTGGTATCGATAGTATCGATCCTGGGATCGATCCGCCCACCTCTAGTTTTAACCCACCTCCAGCCCCTCCTCCACCATGTAGCTAAAGTGTCCCCTGTCTCATCTCAACCGCTCCATGTTGAGCCTGGTTCTGCTAGAGGTTTCTTCCCAATGGGGATTTTTTCCTTTCCACTTTCGCTTCATGCTTGCTCATCATGGACAGGTTCTTTCAACCTGTGTTATCCAACTGGACTTCCATCTTCCAGGTCCCTGAGTGAAGCTCTAGTATCAGCTCACGCAAGCCACTGGATCTCCCCATAAAGCACAGCATACCGTCTCACTAACCAGCAGTCTATAGACTGACCAACTTCATCTATCTCCACTCCACCACCAGTTTCAGGCCTGGGGGGGAAACAGCCCTATTCTTTGCTCCTGTTCATGCATATCTATCAAAATTCAGCACTATGTTTCCTGCCAAGGTCTGAGCGCCAAAGACCAAGTAATTTTATCAATAAATTTATCTTAATTGTCTTTTCTCTTCATGTGAGTTTTTCAGATTGAATTGTTTTTATGCAGAGTTCAGACTGAATATAGATGGACTCTGATTACCAATTATGTGTTAAGGAGGGAATCAGTAGCGCAGGATTTTGTTTTTGCTCAAAGAGTAACTCTGTGTTAATCTATCACACGCACTCCCAATAAAACACATTAAAGCTTACATTTGTGACCTTACACAATTTGAAAGAATTGAAGGGGTTTGAACACTTTTTCTAGTGACGAAACACTTTACAAAAACTACCTAAATGCCGCCATCTAGTGATAAAACATGGTTACTACATAAACGGTAAGAGGTCTCTGCCATCGGAGTGAATTTAGGAAGATAACAAATGGTAATAATTGTGTTTTGCTGTCAATTTTTTATAAACGTGGCATTAAACGTTTTCGTAAAGAAATAATCATAAATAAAAGGCGCAGAAGTCGTAGGGCTTGTGTTGTTAATGTAGCCTTCGTTGTGTTTCTATTAGGATCACATGATCTAGCGAGCTAGCTGCGTTGTTAGCACAGCCTCTGAGTTAACCAGGAAACGCTGCGACCTAATATTTTTAGTTTAATATTTCAAATATATTTTATCAGCTATTGTTTTAGAAGCTATCTTGTTAATCCGGCGAAGCATATTGAGGGACATTTTTGGTAAGTATAGCCAGGCTAGCTAATTTGGTTTATTAACCTACTTTCAGCTGTTACTTATTCTCCAGTTAGCCTAGCTAAACCTAAAAACACTTAGCTTATAGAGCCATAACCATCTTTCTTTTTCTTTATATGAAGCCGGTGGGTTATTGCTTTTATTGGCTGTAAAGATACGCCAGGCCTTATCGTGTTAATGAATGTTTCTTTCCATTCCTAACTTCTGCCCTGAAGCTTTTGTTAATCAGTAAAATAATTGCTTGTCATTGTGTTTCATATATATTTTCTATATGGCTGCCATCATCAAAATAAAGAAAATGAGCATGTGATCAAAAACTGTGACAAAACAGCACATGATCTGAATCTGTGGGAAAAGACTTTAAACTGGGGTAAGATTGAATATTTATATATACTTTTTTTTCCTTATAAAAATGATCTTTTTACTGGCTTATCCAATTAAAATAATTTATGTTTGCAATTAATTTCAGTGAGTTAAAAGTTATGTCATGCAGATAAATTAGCTTTTGATGATGTTGTACTATTGTTTTGTTTTTGAAATTAAATTTTTTTTTAAAGGAAAATAATTCTTTATTTTTCTCTCAGGTAAATCCTTTCAAGGTGTGTTAAAAGTAGTGAATAGCCATGACAGCGAGGAAGTCCCTGCTTAAAGTCATCTTGCTTGGTGATGGAGGTGTTGGAAAGAGCTCCATAATGAATCGCTACGTCACCAACAAGTTCGACGCCCACCTCTTCCACACCATTGGCGTTGAGTTCCTAAACAAGACCCTTGAAGTGGATGGGAATCAGGTAACCCTACAGATCTGGGACACCGCCGGCCAGGAGCGTTTTCGCAGCCTCAGGACTCCTTTTTATCGTGGCTCCGACTGCTGCCTGCTCACCTTCAGCGTGGATGATAACCAGAGTTTTCTCAACTTGAGTAACTGGAAGAAAGAGTTCATCTACTACGCCGATGTCAAAGAGCCTGAGAACTTCCCGTTTGTGGTATTGGGCAACAAGGTCGACGTAACAGAGAGGCAGGTGTCTACAGAGGAGGCTCGGCTGTGGTGCCAGGAAAATGGTGAATACCCGTATTTTGAGACCAGTGCCAAGGACGCTACCAATGTAGCAGTAGCTTTTGAGGAAGCTGTGCATAGAGCTTTGGCTGCAGATGACAAAGCAGATCATCTTATCCCCACGGACACGGTGAAACTCCATAGAAAACCCCGCTCTGCTACTGCTTGCTGCTCATAAAAATCCCTGAAGCTATCACTAATAATTCTCCGCTATGCCTCTCATGTTTTCAGGGTGTAGGGATTACGTGCTGTAGTCATTAATTATGCTACTGGCTTCTTCTGATTAGTCCAAGATTCATTGATGCTAACTGTTGGACTTCTGCCTGGAATATGGAAGAAACACTAAACCTGTCCACTGATGTATTGATTTATCTTTGGCACATTTTAAAAACAATTAAGACATTCCTTAAACATTAAAATACTTAGTGATCCAGTTTTCATGTCTTTTTCATTATGTCATAATGAAAAAGACATGTTTATATCTGAGAGTGCAAATATTATTGGGTTTTAACTTGTTACTCCCAAATGTAAGTTTTGCAGAATATTCATTGATATTTCAGTAGATTGTAACTGCATAACTTGAGATGAATTTGTATCATCCACTAGCCATGTTTCTAATGATTATGAAATATTTAAATCTCGTCTTTAGAAAACTAACCCGTGAGACTTTTGATTATTACCCCCTAACACTGTGTAATGTACTTGCATTATAAATAAATTAAGGCTTCGTTGGTAGTGAAGAACATGTTCCAGCTTGAAATAAACTTAAAAGCGTAACATGCATGGCAATTTTGAACCCTCAAGTTTCTGCAAACCTTTGTTTTACTTTAATCTAGTTGATGTTTAAATTGAAAAGAAATATTTTTTATTTCCTTTTAATATAAAAATACACTTTTGGACTTACTTTATAGACTAATTCTTATTGCATTCTTTAGAAAATATGCCTCCTTTTGAAGTTTTTTTTGTTTTTAAACAGACTTGATTGTTTTAAAGATAATCTATCATTAAGTTAACTCACTGAAATGAATACATGTTGTAATGGCCTTCATCATGGGTCAAAATTCAGATCGATCCTGCAAATAATTTGTCAACTATGTGAAACTAATAAATGCATTTCAATATTTATTAAAAGGCATCTATTTTTTTTGTAAATTGTTAGAACTAAATATATTTTCAAATGTAATGTATTCATATATTGTGTGCTAAGAGTGTAATATTTAAAACTATGATTGTGGCTCATTAATCAGACGTGAAAATGATTCCACCAATCTAAACACTATTTTAACAATAGATCAATAAACCTTTTATTACACAGACACCTAACCCTCATGGGTGAAGTCTCTCAAAATATTTTCTTGATGTGCCGCAACTTAGTGCTATGAAATGCTAAACTACTGAAATTATATGGTCACTGAACATATTTAAAAAAATTTTTATTTTTTATTTATCCTTTATTTAACCAGGTAATACCCATTGAGATTAAAAATCTCTTTTGCAAGGGAGACCTGGCCAAGATAGGCATCAAAATTACATCACATCATTACATACGTACAAAGATACACACATAAAAGCCAAATATGCACTGTTTAATGACAAAATTTTGGAAAGAATTTTCACTTTGTATTTTTTTATTGTTTTTAAATGGTTGCATATATAACTAGTTATTGCTGACCTCTGTGATGCTTTGGGACATTTTTTGGGCCTCATTAGTGGCTTATAAAACAGAACTGTCTAAACAGCCTGTTTTGCAGTCGGATGATTAACTGCTTGAGAAGTAAATTTTTGATTTTAATGAATAAACTTAAAGTGATTATGGTAGATATCTAATTTGTTTGTGCTGTAATGATCTTATTCATGCTATAATAATCCCTAAACTTATAAAAGACGACAAATCTGAGTGTATCCTAGAATGTGGTTCTTGTTTAAGTCTCAGTTGGTTCTGTGAACACCTTGTGGAAAGTACTTTTAGAAAAAAACATAAGTATAAAACAAAGTTCACATTAGAAATTAAAACACTTCATACAATTTTCTTGTGGGAAATACTTTTTATTCGACAGGAAAACAGATCATGCACGCATATTTCGATATATACAAGGGAAAGAAAACATTCAAATCTTAGCATCGTCTGATTAACTCAGGAGATGCTTCTTTCCGAGAAACTGGACTTTCCTCTCAAATGCAGTGGAGCGGATTGGTGCGTTGATTTCATAGAAAGGATTCATTGCGAACTGGAAGATAAAAATATATTGAGACAATCAACTCTACAAAGTCTGTGTTACTGCGGCCGCACAGAGCAAGACTCACCTTTATGTATAAGTCGTACACGTCGTTAAAAAAGTTCTTTATTCCATCTTCTTGTCGCATATCATGTAGCATGATGAATCTAATTTGTATGGAAGGTTATTAAAGAAATAGAAGGAAATTATGATGCACATGAATATAAAAGGAAAGACAACCTCCACAACTACAAAATAAATTAAGCTATTATCATGAAAACAGACAATATTTAAGAGTTTGTTTACTATGACATTTATTTTCTTCCTAGGGGATACCTCTAAAGACATAAAAACCTTTTAAAAACTGACAAAACGTTTAATTTACTTTCAGTTTTCTATTAAAGGTTCGTATCCAAACTAGAATAATCTTGATTAAAACTAATTTTTTTTCAAAAAGAAATTGTCAATTTGGAATACACTGAAAATAAGTGATTGTTTCATTTAAGCTAGCTTTAAAAAAAGAAATACATTTATCAACAACAGGCACTTAAGATGCAATGATTTTGCAGGAACTTCCAGTTTTTTTTTGTTTTTGTTTTTTTTTTAGTTTTAAAGTACCAATTGAACTTTTTATTTCAGAAAAAAAGCTTTTTATATCACATTAATTTTGAGTCCTTTCTCAGTAAAAAGCACAATTTATATTCATTTTTCCATTTACTTGTTGGAAATGGATATTTGCAGTTACATTATTTTTATACTAGTTACTGAATGTGTTGGTGCAAATAATAAATGTGATTTGAAATATTGAACGTAAACAAATAAAGTACAGAAAATATAAAAAAGGATATGTCCTGCTGTGACGAAGGCTGAGACAAACCACTCGTTGAACTTGTCCACAGTTTTCAGGTACATGCTGTTGGAAAGCCACATGTTCTCGTCCACCAAGTCCAAGGCAGCGTGTGCAATGAACTGGTTAAGGTGACGGTGGTCGTCCTGTAATCAATAAGACACGTCTTCTCAAAAAAGATCATCATCAAATAATTGCTATTGATAATGCATGTAACACAGAACTAAAACAGAAAGTGGTCACATCTCCTATCCATGTTGCCAATCAAACACAGGTTAGCCCAACTATAGAAGGTACAGAGCTTTATCTATGTTTCAACGTTTTTTTTTTTACAGAAACCATCATATTTTACTAAGGCATATGATCAGGACCACGGACCTGTTATGAATTAATCTTGCTATCTTTTCAATAAGTAGTGATTCCTGCTGTTAATCTTGTAAAAGGCTTGTAAAGTGGGGGGTAGGAATTTTAAAATGGAAAATGTATAAAATACCTGAACAGTTTATAGCATTTATATAAAAAATGATTATAAATCATAACAAAACGTTTCTGTTTTGCCTTTTTAGAGTTGATGCAAAAATTCACTAAAACCAAGAAAGGCCATAAATAAGGTTATTTTGTTTTGCATGTTTGCTATTGATTACATCTCAGTAAATTTAAATATTATTGAAAAGTAGATAAATTGCATTATTGCTGTTTTAAACAAGAAGAATTAACTTCTATTAACTTGCAAACTGACTGCAGAATGCTATATAATAATATAAAAAAATACATATATATATATACACACACACACATATATATATATATATATATATATATATATATATATATATATATATATATATATATATATATATATATATATATATATATATAGACGGACACTTTACGCTGATTTTTCCATTATCTGTACCTAAATCTTATTGCTTACATCAGCGAGCCTTACCGATGACATTTCGAAAAAAGGACAGATTGCATTTTAATTTTCGCGATGTAAGCATCATACCTTAGATTCAGGCTTCCCAGGTGGTAAAAACTCCATCTCAAACACAGGGTTGTCATGATGTCCGACCATTACAAAGTAAAAGCTTCCCGACATTGTATAGATGTCTTCTTGGCGAACCACGAGATGCTCTGAAATCAGTCAAAAATAATTTAATCTACCGAAAATTCCAATGAATTACTAAATCTAACTAGATAAGCAAAATGTCAGTCTCTACGCTAACAGCTCTATAGCTATAGAACTATATCAATAGATTCTTTAACGGGTTTTTGTAACTAAGGTTAAAATACTCCAGATTAAAACTGTTTATGAGAATTAAGCGTGCATGTTACAGTAAAATAACCCGATTTTTTGTTTACCTTTTTATTTCCACTTCCTGGAGAACTGAAACTGTTGTCGCAAAAAGATGACGACATAAAAAAAACAAGTTACCCTTAAATTTAAAGTTAGCGTAATATTTTGGCTCATATATCATTTTACTTTTAAACAAGTTCTGTAGGAAACGTGTATAATTTATTAGAAATGTTTAATATACATTTATTTAATCATTTGCGTCATAGACGTGCGCCTGCAGTGCAGAATTTCCGTTGGCGAATTTAAATGTTTGGGGTCCATATTTTTAAAAGGAGCAGGGACGGAGTTTTAAGAAACAGCTAAGAAAACTAAAAATATAATTATTTCTTATTATTTGGAAGTAAAGCTTTCAGGATAGATAAACTGATGTTTTGTAAATATTGTGGGGTTTTCGTTTTTTATCGTTATGTCTTCGTCTAAGGAGGATTCGTTATCCCCAGAAGAACTTAGGAAAAGACTCTATCGAACCTTTAAAAACAACGGAGTCCTCGATAGACTTAAAGTAAGACAAATTCCCCTCGTTGTGGTCACTGAAATTCAGTTTGTCATACATCTTTTTCCTTTTTTATTTCCTTTGGATTGATCAGGTGCAGCTGCGGAATCAGCTCATTCAGGAGTTAAATCATCCACTTTCAAGGGGACAAAATCCAGGTCCAGTGCCACTAAATGGAACATCTGAGACACTTCTACTTTCAGCCTGCAACAGTATGGTGGCTGATCACCTCCGTACTTTAGGGTATGAATACACACTTTCTGTATTCTGCCCCGAGAGTGGTCTGAGTAATGACAAGGTGAGGATGAAAGCTAATCCTAATCTCTAATTTCAACGTATTTCTATCCAGCCTATCTTTATGCCGATTGTTCTGGGGGGAAAAAATACAGTGCATACATTTCCTAATTCTCCACCTTTGTGTGATTTCATTCCGGTTTAAATACAACTATTTTTTTGTAATAATACATTTGTTTGGGGGAAAAAAGAACAAACTTTATCATACAGAAATAATGTTCAAGAACAGATTTAAGTTGGATTAAGCCGAATGTTTATAAGCTTTGAACATTTTCAAGGAATGTTGTTCACTATGCTGGTGAAGATTCTTAGTCATCCAGGTCATAGTCATTCCAAAAAGTAAAAAAAAAAATAACCCACTGGATTTTGTTTTCCAAGTTTGAAGATGTTTCGCTTCCCGCCCGGAAAGCTTTCACAATTTAAAATGTCTGGGATAGAGTTGAGTTCCAGGTAGGGTTGTCAAAAGTATCGATTATTAAAAAAAATATCGATACTGAAACGTTGTATCCGGATACAATACTCATTTTCAAAAGTATCGATACAGTGCTACCACCAGTGGCACCTTAACAGTCATTCATCTAATGTGCAGAATAGAGGAAAATGCACTTTCTGAAAACTGTGGGATTGAAAAATTCTGTGCACTTTTCATTTTTTGCTTCTTAACCGGTTTGGCTAGTGTCATTGCTATGTGTGCCAAGCATATCCAAGTAAGGAAAACTTAATTTTAATTTTGTAAGTTTTTTTTCAAGCTTGCTTAATACTGTGCACAGCAAACAACCTCAAAATATTGTTCTATATTTATTGTATTTTAATTATTAATCAAAATATTTCTGTTGAAATTTAGAGTTTTTATTCTTGTGGTATCGAAAATGGCATCAAGTATCGAATATTTTCCTTAGTATCGGTATCGAGTTGAAAAGTTTGGTATCGTGACAACCCTAGTTTCAGGCTTTATAGAGTAGCCCAACAAAAGCCTTGTTATGGCTTAGAAAACATGCAAATTGAACGGAGATCTTTTGGTCACCTGCATAGTGATGGGGGTTGAGATGATAACTTGAAGGAATCAACTCTATCGCTTGGTTGTAGGTTTTTGAGGGATAAAACCTGAGTCCATCCCCTCTGTTTAAGGTTAGTTTTTCTCTCTTAACATAAATGGTTTCTTCTTTGTCAAAAATGTGAACATTCTGGTCCTCAAATGTTGTTCATTCATCATCCAAAAGGCGAATGAGTATTTCACAATTATATTTCACACACAGGCTACATTTGAAAAGCAGTAAAAATACATGTTAATACTGGTCTACACTAAAATAGATGGTGGTGGCTTAATGCTGTGGACAGTGCATAATCTAAAACTGATGATATAAAACAATACTTGAGCTACCCACAGGGAAATTTATATAACTGTGTGTTAGGACGGCCCAGGTAAGTCCAGTTAAAGTCTCAAACAGGACCGAATTTTTTTTCGTTGAAATTGCTAATTTATTTGCAAAAAAAAAAAAGCTAAGTTGAGAGAGACTTATACCAAAAGAGCCTTGCAAGAAAGGTATTTCTCTTATTGTTTGACTTGAGGGCTAATTCCAAATGCAAAGCACATTTCATGTATATTTTTTGTTTGGAAAAAAAAAAAGTTATTTAAGCCATGCATCATTTTTATCTGGTTTTACAATCAAGTGCTCCACTCTGTTGGTCCTTTACATAAAATCCTGCTAAAATACATCAAAGTTTGTTCTTGTAATAGAGGAAAATTCCAATGAACTGCAGATGGAAATTAAAACAAAAACGTTTTGCTCTTTTTTGTCAGATTCTCAAGAAAGAAGACCTTCTTCGCATTCTTAACTTAAGTCCTTCATCAGCAATTTTTACATCTATGGTAAATATATAAGTGATGCATTATACAAGAATTTAGAAAAAAAATCCAATTCTAATATTATCAATTTTAACAGCTAAATAAAGAAAACAGTGATAAAGGTATGTTCAGTATTTTCTCTTCTATTCAAACTACTTCTACATCCTAGTCTTCTTGCTAGCATGAAGGTCGTGTCTTTCAGGGTTCCTGTTCAGCCTTTTGGCAGGTCTGGCACACCATTCAACACACAGCCTCCGCCATGATGTAGATACTCAGACAACCAGCCTAGCAAGTTATGGAGAGTCCCTTGGTATGATAAATTTGTATCTGAGATTGTTTTGTTTGGTTGTTAGTTTTTCAATCACATTTTATTTAGTGTTCATTACAGTGTTTTTCTTTTCTGTTCAGTTGACAAGATGAAAATGATTGACAAACGGTATGAGAGCCTTGCTTTGGGTGAAGACAAAATCTTCCCACTACAATCAAAACTTTCAGCATATAAAAAAGAGATTGAGGCACAAAAGGAAGCAGAAATGAAAGCAAAGGTATTCACATAAGCATGTAGGATAACATTTAATCATCTGGGTTGTTTCTCCATTTTTTTTGCTTTGACATTGTACAATTTCTTTTAAGCTGAAACATTTCAAAGATGTTGAAATCGCAAAGGTGAGGATGGAGGAAAAATCCAAGTTTAATGAGGAATTCGAAAAGCTGAAGCAAGAACTGGAGAGGACTTATGAGATGAAGGCAATGGCACTGATGGAGCGAGAGAAAAACGCCATCGAGAGGCTGCAGAAACAGCAAGAGGTGAAATGTAGCTAGTAACTTGTCTTTCCTTTTTTTGTTTTCTCTCTACATGCTTAAAATCCTTGGCATTGTTTCTTTTCTTTTGCACCTCTCTAAAACATCTGATTACCACTGATAATGTCAGGCACAGATAGTTGTAAAATGGGATTCTGGATAAGCCATAAACCGAGCTATATTATCAGCCTAATCATGCAGTGTTTATATTCAACACGGCAGATTAGGCAGTTATAAACTGCAACACAATGCAACTAGCATGAGTAGGCTGCTCATTATAAAAACCTTGCACACTAACCTTTGCTAAGATTAAAGTGGACTTTTTTTTTTTCTCTGGTTAAATAAAGAAATTGTTGACTTTTTTTCATCTGAAGTTATTTGAAAACGTCCTGACATCTGGAAAACTTAATTTCTTCTTAAATGTTTTATAGACTACCAAATTCTGTTCCATATCTTTGACTATCAATGCTTGCATGTCATTAATGATGGGGAGTTTTATCCTTAGATTGAAGAAAAAAACATCTACATGCACAGACAGTCTCTGCTGAAAGAAATCGAAACACAACGCAGCAGAGACAATGAGCTGAGGATGAGAATGGAGGCTTTTGAAAAGTAAGATCTTTTTTAAAGATGTTTTTTGTTTTATTTCCAAATCACTGAATCTTAACTTTGTTTTGATCAAAATAAGCTCTTGTCAAATTCATGCGGAGAAGGTGAAAGTTTCTGAAGAGTTGTTAAGGAGAAGAGAACTAGCTGTCAGGACGATGGAGGACACGTACGACCAGAAGCTGAAGAATGAGCTGTCCAGGTATTTTCCATCTTAGAAAAAAGAATCATATTTCGTCCAACCAAAAGTAGCTCCTAAGTTTAAGTTGGTCAGTTTTTTTTTTATCACCGAAGGATGTCACTGTTTGGTTAAGTTGGGTAATAATATTTTCTTTTATGAATAATTAATCATCATTTTCTTTATCAGCAAAAAATAAGCATGCATGAATGTGTAAAATAAAAACAGTTCAAGTTTACATACAGTACATAATACATGTTGACATATATTTCATGAAAATTAAGGGGTTTTAGTATTTTCTTGCTGTGGACTGGTTAGAAAACATACGAATTGATGCCTTTTGAAAGTTTGAAAAGACTGATGCTCATGTTTTTATTGTGGGTTCTATTAAATCCATAAAAATATGTATAAATGAATAATAAGATGCTTAAAGGCTGAAATGTTTACACACACCCCTCTATTATCTGGAAACATGTCGCTTAGCAAGTTGTGGAGAAACCAACACCTACTTTGTAGCCATCAAAATATTCTTGGATAATTCTATCTGTCCAATTTGATATTTAACTACTCTTATTATTAGAACTTAAATGTGTTTACTGTCTGACAATGTCTGACACAATGTATGTTTGGGATCATTATCCTGTTCAAAAATCCAACTGAGTCAAAGTTCTGTTACATGAAAGGAAAATGGATGAGTGAAACTCGGGGGGTGACAAGAAGAAAGAAAAACAAACAGTTTCTCTGAAACAAAACCTCCAGGCAAGATTGGGATCTGGTGATATTTTTAATGTGAAAAAAGTAATGAAGTATATTTAGATCAGATTTTTAAACCCAAGAACATTATATCAACTGTTATAATATAAACTTTAACACAAGTCAGTGTTTTAACAATACTTTGATACCAAAATGCATCTAAACTAATATATAAAGCAGGGTAACATAACACCTATGGGACAGCTCCAAATTTACCTCTTTGTATTATAGTGTTGAGAATCATTGCCTTGACTTCATGCTAAACATTTTTTTTTGTCTTTTTCCACTGATTGATCTCTGTCCTTCTATAATTTCAGGTACCAGCTTGAGTTGAAGGAGGAATTTCTTAAAAGAACAGAAAAACTCACGGAAAGTGAGAACAGAAATAAAGGCAGGAATTTCACTTCTTATGGAATTATGACTAATTTGATGAAAAAAAATAACAAATAATTTCCCTGTGTTTACATAATGTTATTTTTCCAGTGGAAACAGCCCGAATCCAAAAGGAGTCAGAGATGATTGATGCCAGACTAGAAGAGCACCAAAGAGCATGTGCAGAGCTGAAACGACTGCAGGTAAACAATATCATCCTGTTAGCATAGTCAAAGTTAAAGTTCTTTTTCTTTTTTTTTAGCCTTTCTTTAAAGGTTTCATCTTTTTTTTTCTCCATTTTTCTGCTTTGCCAGGTTGAGCTAGAAACCGCACAGCAGCAGATATCTCTACTGACTCAACAGAAAGAGCTTTTAAAGGAACGATTGGAGAGTACAAGCGACTACTCCAGCCTGAAAATGGAGAAAGCAGAGCTGCTGGGACAGCAGCAGCTGCTTCAGAAACAGCTGGAGGAAGCACAAGAAGAGAACAAACGGCTCCATGCAGGTGAAGAGAGACGACTGCGCTCCTAATGAGTGTCAATGGCTCCTGTTTCCTTTTTTCCTTTTTTCTTTTTGTTACAATTCATCTTATTAGTCAGAAAATGTAAATAAATATCGACACAATCTTGCTTCTCTTCCAAGTGTTTGTGGCTGCAGTCAGTGGGCTATGAAGCATTACTTTTAGGACCCTCCCCCTCTGCCCAAGGCCCTAAAATTGAACCTGGCATACACTGCAAAAAAATTCAATCTAAATAAGTAGTTTTTTTTCAAAAAATAAGTGCATTTTTTTTCTTGAATTAAGGAGGTGAGACACTTTACCAATGGAACAAGAATGACTTATTTCAAGTGCATATTGTTTGATTGTCTTATTTTAAAGGTAAAAAACTAATTCCGCTAGCAAATCATCTTATTTACCTACTTAAATGAAGGGTAAATACATTTAATTCCAGACATTTTTACTTATTTTTAGATTCTAGATCGTTTTTTTTTCATTGAACCAGTGTTGGGCCTCTTTTCTTGGATTGACAGTTCCTAAAGGAGAGGAAATCAAATGTGAAGTGACAGGAAGTTCTATTTACCAAAAGAGCAACAGACTTCTTAGAAGAAGTAACACTCACACTGTACCATGATCCAACAGGACAGAATATACAGAGTGTGTATAATACAATTATTTAAGCTGTTATCTGAAGGCTTGAAAGCATCAGTGAGACTAAAAGATACGGGTTCAATGTTAAATTTGTATCCTAAACTTTAAACATATCAGTTAAACTCCAGATATGGGTCCTTTTTATAGCCACAACAAAAATATCCTATCCCCTTTGAAACATTGTGGTGATGCTCTCTGGCTCAGATAAATTAAGTTGTCTTTCTACATGTTCTCCAGCCAGGTAGAGCCTAAAAAAAAAAAATAGGGAAAAACATCTTCTCAGATGTGCAAATCTGTGACAGATATTCGCTACTAGTGCTTTTACTGTTCCAACTCACGTGCTTGTACAAAGGCACATCCTTGGCAGGGAGAAATGTGCTTGGAGAAGATTTTTAGAAAAAAGATAGACTTGGACTTCCTTTATTGTCATTGCACAAAAAAACACAAGGTGAATCTTGACAACAAAATGTCGATTTCTAGGCTACCAGTGTAACAGAGCTAAGACCTTATTCTTGCACAATAAATATGTTTTCTATAGCTAAGAGCTAGCTATAGTTATTGCAAAAAGAATCATTAAGTTGAAGACAAAACTAAACTAAGGTGCTTGTATTGTCCATGTCCAGTACAGATGTATAATGTATAGATGTATAATAACAGATGTATAAGATGTATAATCGTTCCCCACTGTTTAAAATGATATGCTAATTATTGTTGATTTTATCACACAAAATGCATGAGTGTTTCTTGCTGTATCGAGGAAAAGATTGTGTAAAGGTTAAAGAGATTTTTGTAGTTTTGCATACTTACCAAAATTCCTCTCCTTAGAAATGATGAAACCATCTAAAGAAGAGCTTGCCTTGCACGCGGAGCTTAGCCGACTGAAAAACACTCGTACGCTGGATGAAGTAGAGTTTGAGAACCAGAAACAGGTGTTGCAAGCACAGCTTCAGAGGGAGGTGAGTCCTGTGTCGCCACATGACTGATAGGTCATGCTAACTATCTGAAATGAAATAGTTTTTGTGTCTCTGGTATAAATACAAATGTTTTGGCAGATGGAGCAATGTGTTTATCTGAAAGCTCAGCTGACAGAGTGTGAGAAGAGGTCAGAATGGATGGCCAAACATGTAGAGGAGATCAAAACCCAGCTTCGCCACACACAGCAAGGTAGTATGTGGTGTATGTGTAATATGTGTCTGCATGGTTTTAGGTTAGATTTGGTTGAGTTTTCTTGTCAGATTTATAAACTCCTTTTGAACAGACTTACTTTCTTCATCAGCTTTCAAATATTCTCCCTCTCGATCGTTTTGAAGGACTATTTTTCTTCCATCTTTTAACATGTAGAGATTAGATTTTTTTTCTTACTGTTCTTTGCAAAATGGCTCAATCCAAATAATATTTTAGATTAGAGTGTTACAACTGCCAGGTGGGAATTTCCTAATATCACGTTTTAAAGTTTGTATATTAACCAAAAAATACCTACAAAAACACAACATTTAAATTTTCACAACTATATCATACATTTAAAGAGAGCTAATACAGATTTCATGGTCTATTAAGAATTCATTTTTATTTTTTATGTTGAAGAGTTTGTCTCTGTGAGTCTTCTATGTAATTAAAGAAAAAAGATCAACTGCTCAACATATTTAATGCATATATTACATATAACTAGAAATCAATTTAAATAATACCTACCGGTATGTATCAATACGTGCACAGCTCAGTGATTTATTTGAAAAATATACATGTAGGTTCATGGTGATTAGTATAAATTAACCCTGAAGTGGTTTAGGTGTCTGTCAGTTTTTGGCCACCCCGCCCAGTGCACATTGGTCCCTCCCTGGCCATTTCCTGGATCCAACAACAGTTAACCAGTATTCCTTTTGGACTGCTCATGTGGCTCAATCCATTCTAATACATACTATGACTAATTCTCCTGCATCTTTCTTAACAAAAACGAGATGATGCTTGCAACAGGTTTCTTGATGGGTATGGTGTGTTCTAGTTGATTTGCTTTATTAGCTTTCTGTCATGTGTAGCATTCTTCTTGAGGGCCTTATATTTCCATTTAAACCAAATCACCTTCTGTTACATGTCTGTTCACTAATATACCTCATTCATAGAACTGCTGGATTATTACTCAGGTCAAATACACACAGACATCAGAGTAAAGAGGGCACAATACTGGCTGGTCGGTCCTGTAGAATCCCAATTAAATGCAAATGCACTGCAAAAAATCTAAATCTTGATGAGTAATTTTTTTCTTAAAATAAGTGCATTTGTTCTTGAATTGAGGAGATAAAAGAGACATCTTGCCCATGGAACAAGACAATTTAGATTTAAGATAAGAAAAGACAATGGCATTCTCTTATTTCAAGTGAATATTATCTAATTATCTTATTTTAAGAGTATAAATACTGATTCCATTGGCAAACTATATAATTTACCTACTCAAATCAAGTTTAAATACACTTAACTTAAGGCCCCGTCCACACGAAGACGAACCCTGGCCTAAACGCACAAATTTTTCACCAAACCAGCCTCTCATCCACACGAAGCCGGCGTTTCGGGGGTCTGTAAACGATCTTTTTTTTATTCAGCCTTCAGAGTGGGAAGATTCTGAAACGCCGTTTTCGCGTTTCCATCTTTAAGCTCTAACCGCATTTTTTTTTTTACACACATGCGTCATAGCGTCGCCTCTAAACACGCATGCGCGACACATCTCAACAACAATGGCGCCGTTGCTGCTAATGCTACTCACCCTGCTGTCGGGCTTACAACAGAATCTTCTTCTTCTGGAACATCTCCAGGAAGAACAGAGCAATATCGACGACATCGTTCAGCACCTGAATTTGACTTAACCACGAAAATGGACCCGCAGGGCAACCATGTATAAATATTACTGCACATGCCCAACATTTCGTCGCTTATTTTTGCTTTGGCACCACAGAGCCACTTACAGGCCTGGCATACATTTTGCAGCGTTTTCATGCATTCGTGTGGACGATCACATTTATTTTACGTCTCCGTCTTTACGGCAAACGTTTTGGAAAATATCAGCGTTTCGTGTTCGTTTTGACTTCGTGTGGACGGGGCCTAAGAATTTTTTCTTATTTCTAGATCATTTTTACAGTGTGAAAAGTTTGTGGTTGTTTGAACAAAATGTAAAAAAGTTCAAAGGGATATGAACACTTCTGTAGGAACATTACACCAAGAAAGACCTGCACTCTAAAATGGAAGTAACTGTTTTAGATGTAGTTGTTTGCATGTGTAATATCTTTGAATGTGGTGGTGGTCTTCTGTAGTAGTGTTGAATCCTCCTCTTTGTTTGCTTTTCCTCTTTCATTTCCTCCTGTGTGACTCGATCAATAATGGCAGCTCTGGAGAATGAAGTGCTGCGTAACCCGAAGCCCTCTCTTGTTGATCGCTCTGTTCTGGAGCTCGGCGCTGACAAGCTGGTTCCACCAGACATCTATATGGATGGATCTGTGCTGAGGCCCAGGGCGAGTTACCATGATATTTGTGAAGCAGGTGGGCCATCCAGAGGACACAGGTCTCCTTGGAACGATTCTCCAGACTCCGACTTTGAGCTTGTAGCAGAAGCAAAGGCTCGAGTCCTGGAACTGCAGAAGGAAGCTGAAAGCTTAGAGGAAGCTTACAGGAAATACCAGCAGAGGGCAGTACACACCATTCTCTCTCCCAGGCCTCTCTCCCCACAGCAAGCCTATTCTTCACTCTACCCCAGCTCCCTGTTTAGGAAAAAAGACTACCAGGATTCACACAACTATTCAAGCCACAAACCTAAGACGTTACTCAACCAACTCACTCCTCATTATGTTCAATCCAAAGCTATGGCATCTAATGAAACCAGAAACATCCTGCCAGCAGTCCATGAACAGCCTCAGGCCTTATTTGTCTCTGACCACAGTCCAAACTCTTTATCTGAGCCTGTGTCTCTTAAAGAGGGACAAAGGCAAAAGAAACAGTCGGTTTCAGCCAAACGGAGCCCACAATCCTCCTCCAGAGGGAGACTTCACAAGGAACATTCAGAAGGTAGCTTTATAAAATGCTTAAGTTTAAAATTTTCTCTGAAATATGTCTCCTTGTTTCAGTTTAAAAGACTTTGTTCCTCCTCAGAACCAGCTGTCTCTCTGATGCCGTTCTCCCAGATGCCACTGTCTGACAAACCCGCACTGTTCCGTGCCTCTGTCACGACTCCAGGTGACTCTTCTGAGCTCAGTCCGCCTCACAGCCCCCAACACAGGAGCACAGCACGGGACCAATCTAGGTACCATCTGTTGGGGCTCACACAAGGACACGCATTTTACTTTTTACATTATGGGTATGAATTCTAATAACGTCCCGTTTGCCCTTGCCTCTTTTAAGTCCACCGAAGGTAGAGCTTGTGTTCTCCAGCTCAGCGTCTTCCCCACAGCCGGAGAAGATAAACCTTGAAGATCTAACAGGAGAATTGCAAGGTATTCTGGACCATTAACAGTCATGTCATGACTTTTTCTTTTTTTTTAAACCAATGTTCTCCCAGTTTATAATAGACAAAAGAAGCAGATGAGTTCTTGTTAATCTGATGTGATCCTTCAATTATAAGTGTACTGAATTGGATTTGCGGTGGATTTGATCACATATGTTAGCATTTAAAGACTGTCTAGAGTTCTGCTGACTGTAGAACATGTGGAAAAGATGTGCCACAGAAACACATTGCTGCTTTTAACACAGAGAACAATTGAACATCACTTTCCATCCCAACAGACAATATATATATATATATATATATATATATATATATATATATATATATATATATATATACGTACATTTCTTTATACAATTTTTTAACACATAAATACAGGCCAGGGAGAGGATTTCCTTTCAGAAATCCTCTAATAAGTAGAGTCCATTGGTTTGCCATTTAATTGAAGTATAAATGCAGCTGTTATATGAAGGTCTGTGTGGTTTGTTAGAAAACAAACTAAATCAACAGAGCAACCTTTTGATGGGACACCTGTTTACTATTTGTCATACACTCTAGTAGTCCGGACTTCAGAGGAAAATGGTGACATGCAAACCATTGCTGAATAAAAGTCATAAGAAGAGGCTTTGAGCTTTTGCCACAAGCTGCATAGGGTCCCCATTGCAAGGGTCGTCTTTCCAGATTTGTATTCATCTTCAGTTTCTACTTTCCACTAGCAGGACCTTTCAAAAGATGTGTGATTTGTAACGGGTGTCATGTACCACTTTGACAGTTCAGACTTCAGGGTTTTGTTTTTTTTCCAGCTTTTTAATGGCTATGAATCTGGCCCCCAGTATGTCCTTTCAGCAGCCCTGCACAATGGAGAAGATGAAGGACAGCTGATTATGTATTCTGTGCCAGTTCTCTGGCTCTGTTGCATTATGGTGGCAAATAAAAGATCTCTTTGTGCAACATCTCCCTCCAGAGTCCGGCCACATTCCAGAGCTTCTCCCGGACACTGCTGTCCCTCTCTCTGAGGAGGCCCCCAAAAGGCCCACCACCCCCCAACCACAGGACCTCCCAGAAGACCCGACATACTCGCAAACTCAGGCTGGTGAGTCAACATGTCCAGCAATGACCCTTGATCTTGGTTTATCCATGATGATATGCAGTCATTTTATATTGGATGCCATCGTTCTGACTGTGACAGTCGATTTCCTCATTTTCTGCATCCTAAATGTACCTTATTCTACTTTTCTCTTAAAGTAAAAGAGACTTTAGATAAATCTATCGAGGACGAAGAGGAGCAAAGGTGGGAAAGGGAGCGAAAAGAGAAAAGGGAAAAAAGGCAGAAGGAGCTACAGGAGGCCAAGGAGCGAGAGCAGCAAGAACTGGAACGTTTGGAGAAGGAGATGGTAATTGTTAACCCAACACATTGATTCTTAAGATAAAGTTTATTTGAAATGTGCAGTGAGAACATCTCTTCCTATCCAGCTTTTGGAAGAGGCAGTGCAATCAGAAAATAAAGAGGAAACAAAAGAGGAAATAGACATTGGGAAAGGAAAAGACAATGAGCAAAACAAGGAAGAACCAAAAGAAGAAAATCCACTGGAAAAATATATGAAGATGGTACTAGAAGCAAGAGAGAAGCAGCAGGAGAAAGTCAGTTCCAACCACAGATGTGAAAGCCTCACATTTAACGTATGTGTTACTCAAACCTCACTTCTGTTTTTTGTTTTTAGACCTCTGTAAGAGTGGATGAAGGAGGGATGAGCCCAGAGGATAAGAGTTTATTTGAAGAAAAAGATGAAAGGTAACACAAATAAAGCCAGAGTTTCAAACAGTACACAATTTATTGCATAAAAAAACTTTTCTAATCCACTAGTAATGCAGTCACCTCAGAAGACTTTAATAAAAGCAGAGCCGCATGATGAAATCCCAGCAATGTTAAAATGCTTTTGTGGTTCCTCATCTCCTGATATCTTTGTAATGTCATTGGCTTGAGAATAACTTTAATCCAATAAAAAAAAAAAAAAACTCTTTATTGGGTAATGCTTTTTTTCTGTCCCTTGAGTACTTAATAACTCTTTGTTTTTCCTAGCATTGCAGCATACTCGATGAAGGATGAAGATGATGAGTTCTGGTGAGCCATCTCATGTGCTTAACCAACGTTCTGGATTGTAACTTTTGATCAACCTATGTATTAGACTTTTGTAAAACTTTGTTCAATAAAACAAACAAACACACTTCAAACTTTTTTTTTTTCTTTATTTTCATAAAAACAGTCATCAGGCCCATTGAGCTGTGTTTCCAGTCGGACATGATGCTCATTGATTGGTCGACTGATTGATGTCCTCCTGGTGATTCAGTGACAATTCTTCACTTTTTGGTTAATTAATTTTGAAACACAATCAAATGTCATGTACACTAATATTTACTGTACCATGCAAAAAGATCCTTACCTTTTAAACATTTTCACATATTGAAAACCACAAACCCAAATTTATTTTACTGTCATTTGATGTAGGAAGGATAAGGCTTTGCTATGTAGTGAAAGATTTTACAAAAAAAAAAAATCTATGCATTAGCATTAAGTCGGCTTTATCAAATAACCCTGATAAAATTCAGCATAAACAACTGTTGTTAGAAATCAGTGTTTTGAAAAAAGTCAGTATGTGTGTAACTTAATCTATGTACTGTACCAAAACATCTAAAGTAAAAACTAGACAAGGAGAACAATATGTACAAAAGCAGATACAAAGTCCACGGTAACTCTGGAGGAGCTGCACAGCTGAGGAAACTCTTTATGTAAAAATAGTGGCTACAGGATAACGGTTTTAAGGAAGCCAGGTAGTGGAATTGGTAGAAGAGGGAATTCTGGTCAAATGAGTTCAAAAACCTGAACTTTGGTCTATTTTTAAAAATTGCTGTATGTCGTGGAAAACAACTATTGCACATCACTCTGAACACAAATGATACAATGCAGTGGTGGCAGCATCATGATGGGGGATTTCTTCGGCAGTGACCAGCTTCCCTAGTTGGGTTTCAAAAATCTTAATCTAGGTTACCCTTGTAAAAAAAAATAAAATAAATAAATTGGACCCTGAATGTTCAAATAGCTTGGTTAAAGTCCAACCTTAAATTCTTTCACCCAACAATTGGGTTCTATCACATTCCATGCAAGTAAAATACATTGAAGTTTGTTGTTTTTATGTCAGAAAATGAGGAAAAGTTGAAGTGATTTAAAATTAGAAACTTATCCCACACCGCTTTGCCACTGTACATCTAATAATTATGTAGCAAAGATATACTTTAATGTCACAGGATTCTGTTTTGTACATTGGGCAGCATTGGCTTTAATGCTTTGGCTAGATATATTTATGAATTTTTGTAACAGATTATTTTAGGAAATTAAGGAAGCCCTTGACATTTGTAGAAAAATTAGGTACGATCATGCAAAACAAACTTTAAAAGGACAACTGTCTAAAAAAACTGATTAATTAGCTATATAAAAAGAAGTAACATTAATATAGTTTAAAAAAACGGGCATATATTGCCTACTATCAATGTCAGTACACCTAACTGCAACGCGTGTCTTTGCAGAAACAATAGTTTCAATGCAACAAAACAAGTTAATCCTTGTAACTTCACTAAAGGCAAAAAAAAAAAGAAAAAGCTTACATGAGTAATTATATAAACAGTATAACAATTGCACATTTTAAAAGAAATGCAATTTTGGAAGACCACACCTGTTTCAATTTCAAGAGGAGAATTAAAAATGTGACTCATAGCATATTATTACATTACAAAACTGACACCCTGGCTGCTTTCAAATGCCATCCAAGTGGGGCAGTTTTATTCATCTTATAGGAGCTCAAACAAATGACTGAGAAAATAATTTCACCCGCAACTCTTTCTTTAGATTGACTGAATGCCAATCAACCAACATCTAGATGTGACATATGTATTCACATTACACCATTAATGGATCAAGTATATGCACGCATTTGAATAGTTTATTAGTACTGTGACTCAAAGGATGTAATCCCGGTAATTGAATTGTTTGTTGCTCTTTATGCATCCCATTCTAGAAGCATCTTTTCTAAACAAAATTACATAAGTTTTAGTGCACACCTCAGGTAGTGTTAATTTAGGCAACTGCTGCTCTGTATTAAAAACCTAATGGAAGTGAAATCCAAGACATTTAAATTATTGGCAACTGAGGTGGAGACACTTCAAAATGTGCATGTAGTATTCACATGAACTCTGTTTAATGCTGTACCTCAGGGGTAGGCAACATCAGTCCTAGAGTGCCACTGTCCTGCAGCTTTTGCATGCATCCCTTCTTCAACACACCTGATACAAATGAACGGTTAATGGCCAGGCCTCGACTAACCTTAACATGTCAAGGAGGTAATTTGGCCTTTTGTTTCAGGTGTGTTGGAGCAGGGATTCATGCAAAAGTTGCAGGACAGTGGCACTTGAGGACCAACGTAACCTACCTTGCTATGTATAATAGATCCTCTGCAACTTCTGTTTAAGTAGAGATTGAAGATACTAATGGAGCTCGGACATAAGGCCTTCCTTATACGTCATTTTCTTTTTTCTTGGTAAAATCGTGAAAAGAAAAAAAAATGGAGCGCAAAACAGACAGTAAAACAAACTGTTACCGTATTTGTTGTGAGAGAATAGTGCAACATCTTAACATTCACCAGCGGAAACTGGCTATAGAAAGGGCTAAAAAAAACAAAAGACAGAGTGAATATCTAAACTAAACTTGATTTCCCTACAAGACAGAATGAAAAACTTTAATGTAGCAGTCCTGAAACAGCTCTCGGGGAGTTAGTGCAGAAAGCAGCTGATGCATTAGTTTGTTAGGAGCCAGGTTAGTACTGCACAGAGTTGGCAGGTTATACTAGGATGGGGTTGGTCCAAAAGGAGGCCAGCAGTGACTGGCCATTGTGTTCATAAGCATATCTGAGTATTTTCATTTTATTTTATTTTTTTCTGTGAGGGGATTACATCCTTATGTGTAGGAATTGAGGCATTCCTTGGAGCGTGAGGTGATGTCCTGCAGCTCCCGCTCCTCCTTCATTTTGATGTCTTGGTAGGCATGCATTTGACTGGCATCCTTAAGGTAGGCCCAGTTTGCTGAGAGAATCATAAGGTAGTGGATCTGCAAGAGAAGGGTGAGGTGGATGGCCGGTGAGCATGTCAGAGATGCAAAGCGAGCTACAGGAAACACAGCTACAGTACATAAACAGTTCAACTTTTAAAAAATAAAACAAACATACAACAAACTATCTACTGGAAATCAAATTTGTTGGTTAAAATTATTGGAGCCGTTTCTATTTTTTAATGCAAAGAGTACTAGAGAAATTGGATGTTTATGATGGAGAAAAATTAGTGACAGAAAATAAAGTTAAAAGGGTGCAGGCAGTAAAAGCTGGGGGTTAGTGCAAAGCATGAGATCTTGGATAATGTAAACTGGACTGAGCTCTATGATTCACCCATTTTGGGATTGCACACATAAGTAAGATTATCTTGAACCGTTTCAAATGTCATACTAAAACTGCATACTTCATCTTCTGCTATCACATATTTACCTAGTACAAGTTTAGACCCAGATCCAACATTGACAAGAGTCAGGGAATAATGCCGAGGAGGAGTTTAAAGCAGGCTCAGCTCAGAAATCTTTAGTAGTACACTTTTCCGTCATTCAAAAAAGAATGGTTCAAATTCTACCTAGGCATGGCAATGACAAGTGTGCCAAGGAAAGCAACTGGAGGCTCATAGTAATTCTGAATGTTTCCCGGAGATGCACAGCTCAGATGTCAGCAGAACTATGCTAAATTGTCATAAGGGAGGGGAGTACAAATTTAGGCCAAACTTTGCAGATTTTTTTTACGCTTTTACTTCTTTATACATTTCAAAATCTTGTAGTGTTTTGCTTTTGTTAAATAAATCTAATTTTTATAAATATAATGTGAAAAAATGCAAGAAGGTTCAAGATGTATCAATATGTTTGCAATCCACTGCATACTGTTGTAAGCTCTGGAATAAAAAAGACCAAGTTGGGATATTTTTGTAAACAAAGATTGTTTATTTATGTAGAAAGTAAAAGCTACAGTCTTGTAAAACTTAAAGAAAATTAAATATATGAAGTATAAGTAACTATAAACAGATCAACAAATCTGGGAATTGTAAGCATGCAAGAGTTGTGTTAAAAAATCAACAAAAAGTATCTTTAATGGCACTTTGAGTATGCAAAAAAAAAACAAAAAGTATCTTTCAAAGCTGAGCATCAGCTGTTGTAGAAGCGAAATATGCTACTCTGAAACAGTAATTATTCTTACATCTCATAAAACGAGGCTTAGGGCCTCATGCAGAAGTATACCACTTGTACTGGCCTATGCTACTTTGAGAGAGGAGTTGTTACTTTAAAATCTACAATGCACAACAGATCGACATAATACTGTGGATAAAAGTTGGTTCAGTTTATGATCTGTTTTTTTTTTTTTGGAAAAATATAATACTGAAGGTTTCTGTGATTGATTGGCACAAAAAGGTCTAATATATATATATAAAAAATAAACAGAGCAAGGGGAAAGGAGAGTAAAGCTATTTTGCTGTCAAAGCAGGTCTTTTTACAGATATATCTCCATAAAATACACCCACAACTGCTAATCTGGCAACCTAAAATATTTGTTTTTGGTGATTAGATCACCTCATGCTTTTTAGGCCAATTGGAGTCCTTTGACAAGGGAGTCAAAGCCTGCATAAACTCTAATTATGTTTGGCATGTAATTCACAAGTTTGTGAATAAATATGCTATTTAGTTAGATGGATTCCAACCGTTTCTAGCAAAGCAGTTTACTGCATGTTACATTTCTTGGGGTTTTTTCCTGCAGATAATAATTTTGTAGATACTACAACCAGCTACATTGATTTTAAATTTAAATAAATCCACCATCAGTTTTCTGGCTTTGCAAATTTCTTTAAGCTTTTATGGTGCCAAATCTGTTGAAGCAAAAGTGTCATGGAAAACCTGTGGAGCAAGACGTACCCAAATCTGAGATCAACTTTATCAGGACAAGAAAACTTCCTGCATATCAGATGCTAAAAGAAGCAAACATAAATCAGCTATTTACACTTTATGTGATTACTAATGGATAGACGTCAAATTATCTATTCTCAGGTTTTTTTTCTTTTCTTTTCTTTTTTTTTTTAGTTCCTTTGAAGTCAGTGATGTC